CCAACTACTGTAGCTGGGTGATGCAATACGGCACATGAGCAGCACCCCCTTTGTCTTTTTCATCCACCTGTCTTTTCTTATGTTTTTCCAAATTTCTTATATCTGACTTCATCAATCATTCACAGTCTGTTTTCTATGATTGGTTGGCAGTAGAGTGACACTACTGGTCCAGGATAAAACAGGGATGGTCAGATCTTGGTCTGCTGTTTGAGGAGCTGGGGAACTGGGTTGAGTAAAGGGTGCATTACCTCCTGTTGCTTTTATAATGATTCGTTTGTGGACTGTTTGACAGGTGATCTCTGCGGGTCGGGTTTAAGATGGTATATCCATGACTTGTATGAATCCGAACAATTCTATTTGTTCTCTTCTTGATGAAACAAGTACAATGCAACACAATACAAGACAGTTGGGGGCGATTTCAACCTGTTGCACCTGTCCTAAGGTTGCATAGCAAGTGAAAATGATAATACTACTGATGTTCTAACATTACATCAGATGCTTGGCTCTATTGTAAACGGTTGTCATTGTTCTTTACCCCAGAGAATGGGTAGTCACAAGATCAGCTCTGTAACAATAGTTAATACCATGTACACTACCATTCAATGCCTGCATAACTGAGCACCAGTACGATGGCACGGTCAGGAATGTGAGCTCAAAGGGTGGACCAGAATAAACATGTTAGGCCTAGAACTAATGGCTTTTAGCCTTTTTGGACGTCTGTCTAGTTATAATAAACAAACACTTTCTTTGAGAGACTTTGCAACATGATGTGGAAAACATGAATTGAGTGTAAACTGATCACGAGATTAGCTGTGTGCCTTGGCAGGGAGTCCAAAGCACGTAAGGAGACCCAAGTTATCAGCGGCTTGCATGCTGGCTGTGGAATTTTTTAATAACTTTGCAAGATATTGGTTTAATGGTGTGCCATTCAGATGTGCTAAATTGTCACTTCAGCAATGGACTGCACATTCTTAGCAGTGTGTTTATCTAAAATAATAGCAGTTTGTTGCCTATCTCAAAGTATTTATTATGTGAAATGTAAAACATAACACTGCAGTGGAAATATAATCTTCAGGAAATGTTTTTCCACCAGATTTACCTCAAAAAGAAAGAAAAATCACATTGGCAGAGCTATAACTCGAGCTCAGTTACTGCGCTTTCAGACCAGTGCAGTGAACTGGAATGATTTTTATAGTGTGACCAGTAATGAACTGGTCAAATCAACAACACTGTTAAGAAAATATAAGTATGTAAGATATGTCATAATTCTATGGCTTATTCAGTGACGTGTGTGCTACTGCAAGAGCAGACAATGACTGCTTTATACTGACGTACTGAATATCTGAAGAGACGAACTTCTGTGATAGTAAGAATGCCAGGGATGCCATGGCTAACTGATTAAGTGAGCAGCTACTGAATGTTCATGCTGTTTGCATTCTCATGTATGCAACCATGCTGCTTTTGTGAGCATATAAATCTATATTCCAATACTAAAGCTGAAGATATTTGATTGCACGTCAGACCGGGAATGAAATATTATTTGTATTGGAACTCTGGCCTTGATACTAATCATCTCCAAAGCAATCCTGAATATTGTGTAAATCATTTGGTAATGGCTCAGTAGCAATCATATTACACATTACTGAAGTATTTATCCACTGTGGTGCCTTACTGCCAGTAATTTGTGTTTTGATGGTGGAACAACATGGCAGCCACTAGCTCACAGTGATTACGGCTTTTACACAGAGTAATACTTGTCACACATGTCTTTATACAGCAGTATCCCATAACATTACTCAAAATCTTCTCTTTGTTTTGAGTTACGTAAAGTCTTGGAACAGAAGAGACATGCAACACAGTTTTTGTTCACCAAGGTCTGACAAATTTCAGCTGCACATTGGGAGTAGACAGTTCGATTAGGCTGACATTATCTTGGGCTTGACCAGTAAATGGCACACACACTCTTTACTGTAAATACACACAAACTCACTCGCGCATTCATGCTTGGGTGTTGCTTTTGTGTATGACTATTGTTGCTATTGTTCGAGTTAAAACTGGGAGTTGGCCTCCCTCACATCCAGGGTGGAGAAGCAGTTACGTCAGCTTAAATGCTGTTGGTCTCCATTTTAAACATACCTCCATGATACTAAATGTGTTAATTATGTTTAATTAATTTCTAAACCAGTTTCAAGGGATATTTTTAGAGAGAGAACTGTTTTAAGGGTTATTGGTTAGCTTACTATGCCAACAAACAAAGAACCATATGCTTTTCAAGTCAGATAAGATGTGTTAGATTTAATACTCATCCATAGAATCTCTCTCATAGATGTAGATTTTTTTCTTCCCAGACTCCAGATGTTTTATCTTCCCCTCACCCCACAGTTGCCCTAGTCAGCATCCCACAAATCATCCCTTGTCCAGCCTCTCCCCTTACCCCCCCCCCGCCCATTTCAACTGAATGTGAGGACCACTGTCAGATCCCTCCAAGCTCTTCCACCTATACTCCCACGTTGACAGATTCTCTCTAAAATACGGACTAAACTCTCACTCATCTGTTGACACATGCAGTCAATCTTACATCCTATGAAAATAGTTGGTTTACCTATCCTAACACGTTCCCTCGCCCGATGCAATTCTCCTAAAGGCACTCTCTACACTTGTTTTCACGCGTGTTCTCATAGTGGATATACATAACTCAGCATATGCAGTATCATTTTACAAGGTGGTGGTGTGAGGGTCAGCTGTGTTGGACCCTCATGAGCTCATGCCACTAGAGAATTAAAGGAATCCCAGTTATCTACGCACACACGAGTCTTTGCACACACGTAGATGCATACAGTCACAGACACACAACAGTTTGAGAACAGCAAAGCATGTGCAGCTTTACCTGTTCACGGCCGGAGGTTTACATTCAGGGTTCCTGTGGGAGCGGGGACAGAAAAATTACAAAGCTTGATGCATTAATTCTGCCGCTCTAACCAAACAAATCTATCAGTGATAACACGAGCTGGAGTGGCCCTCTGTCAATCCAGAGTTGGCGTAATCTCGGCATAGGGTTCATTCTTATCTTTGGGATGTGGCAACAAGACCAGCAGAGTCATTGCATGTGTACGGTGATTAAAACATCTTGGAGTTCTGTAATGAGAGCGTGCTTTCAGTCAATGTGAGGAATGAAGGGGAAAGCATGTGTCTGCTCAGGGAGTGCTCCCACCGGGAATCTCAGTCATTTCGAACCATATGTCTGGCCAGAACAGGATTTCTCAAGTAATGAGAGTGGGAGGATATATCACAGCCAGCCAAGCTAGACTTTTTGAGACAGAACATAGTGTGTTTGTCAGTGATGTTGTGTTCAAAGCACAATCAGTAAATACCCTTTCATAACTGAGTCCACTGAGCTGTGTTGTATATGATTGGCCTGCATCAGTTTGTTTTGGTCCGATGTTTTTGAAATCGTCTCCATGCATGTGTGTGCATGCTAATGTGTGTTCACAGGGGCCCTATGCCCCTGTGTGTGTGTGTGTGTGGCACACTCACTCACACTCACAGTGATCCATTCATTTGTGGCCTGGCACTTAGATAGGGAGTCCGGTTGAGAAAGACAGAGACTGAGAGAGACTGTTCGGACCCTGCACAGTGACTCAATGCTAGCTGTCTGCCTGGCACAGATTAGATCAACACTGATGAATATTCAACAGTTGGCCATCACTGCCAGAGTGGCCTACATTTTTACCAAGGCAGGAGATGGGAGTCAGTCTTCTCACAAAAGTGATTGCTCTACCTCTTGCAAAAGTTCTTAGGGGTCTAATTCAAGGAATAAATGCATTTTTCAGAACAAAAACTTCTTGAATTCAGATAATTTGTTTTCATTTCAGTCTGTATTCCAAACCTGAATGCAGACTGGTGTGAATGCATCTGATCCCAGCTAACTTCATTATCCTCCTTATATATTATATTTTGATAGTTTGTATTCGCTGACTTGTTTTCATAGAACCCAAGTTTGATCCCTCTACACTATTAATGTTTCCAAAAGCAACTTAGAGGGCAGTCCTCGACATTATATCCAAAGGGTATTCTGTTAGGTAAGCTCTCTACTGTTTGGAGTACAGCTTCCTCCCTCAATCCTAAACACATGTCTTCCACACAAAGACAGGAACTGTGCTGATCTAAACTACAGCTAACCGGAAGAGTTCAGCGAATGTCTGAGGAGGTAAAGGGCATCCTTGATATAAGCCTTGACAAAGAGAAAATCCACGACCAAACTACAGCCCGGCCAAAGACACTCACAGAATGGGACTCGAGAAGAATGAGTAAACGGCCAAAATATACTGACCTTTTATTGAGGGGTATTTTTAGGTTTTTCTTTTTGTATGGAGTGTGTGAGTAGACTGGCGCATGAGAACAACACATGCCTCAGTACATGTGTTTTATCTGTTTGCACTCGTTGCACCAGATTTTAAATCAGTGTTGCCACCCACATGCAGATTCATACATACTGTCCCCATCTTCTGTCCAAGTAGCGCGGTGTTGGAAATGGTAATGTGTGAGTGAGGATGTTTGTATCCCTGTGCCACCCGCAAGCCATGCTAGGTTTACCCAAATGCATGCCTGTAGGTACCTTTTATACACCACTAATTGTAACTGTATGTGACAGGGGTTTTATAAAGCTGTGCTTAGGGTAACTGGAGAAGAAGGAGGGGATGTGCTTGTCACACGGTGTACTAACTTGATCAGGCTTTTTTGTTTCCCGAAGCACTGGTGGGATGTTTTTAAAGTGATAGAAGCTGCTGTAAAGGAGAAAGTAAATTATAAGCCTTTACTGTATGTTTAGTTTTTTCCTTTGTTTTTATGTGAAGTTTTTACATGTTGAAATAACGACTTGTCCAAATGAAGTTTTTGCACCGACAGCTTGTTTTTTTTCTGTAGAATTATATAATCAGCTTTCCTTTCTCAGGATGTTGCAGTTCTCTGGCTAAACTGATTCTCTCTCTTCCTCTTTCCAGGATGGTTCTCTGGGCAACATAGATGACCTTGCCCAGGAGTACTCTGAGTACTATAACACCTGCTTCAGTGACGTCAGCGACCGCATGGAGGAGCTACGCAAAAGACGAGTCTCCCAAGAGCTTGACATGGTAAGTGCAAACTCCCACAAAGCTCTCTCTCTCTCTCTCTGCTCTTTCTCCTCTCTCATCTCTCTCTCTGTTTCCTTCTCTTCTCTTTCTCTCTTCTCTCTCTCATCTTCCTCCTCTTTCTCTCATACCACACACAACACACAACAACACACACACACACATATATACAAAAGAGAAAGACCTTACATAGCAACATGATTTGAGCAAAAACAGCTGTCAACCACAACATTTCTTGCTCTCTACTCAGTTTGCATGCACTTCAAATTGCTTTGGACAAATGATCTTTTTTTTTTGCAAATCCTTTAATAATGACCCTAAAAATCCCCCTTTTAGACTAGTCTCATAGCTTTACAGAGTGTAATTTCCACAATCTTAGCCAACAACCTGGCAAGGAACAACGGCGACGAACCATCATGAGTGTGTGCTACCATTTAAGACTTTCCCCAAAGGCAGAATGCATTTTCTGGAGGTCCACTGGGGGTTTGGGGGTTCTTTTCACAAGGATGTAGGGTAGTGGGGCACCCCTTTGGTTGCCAAGCTGCACACAAATGCATAAAGGAATGCTGCTGGTGCTTCCTAGCTCTGTGAAGCACACTACCCAGTGGGTCCAAAAAGTGTTGAGTGTTATGCTCACTTTATAATTGCTCTATGACTTATTCATGGTGAATTAACTTGGTTTGAACCCTTACAAAACGCTATTTGTGCTCAATTTCTAAAACAAATGACTGCAAAAAATTGCTACTTGGTTGTATTTTTCAGTCTGAGGCTAGCTGCTACTCTACAGCACAGATCAGCTTTAAAATAAAATGTCTAACTTAAATAAAAGGAGGCAGTTAGGTGTTACAAATGTAATAGTACTGCCTGACAAAATAATGATCCAGTTCCCCTTCCACAGATTTTCCTCATGCTGATATCATGTTACCTCAGCCTTTCTTATTTTAGCCGTTCAAATTTTCTCTGCTTATACATTATTGTCTGCCATTACTGGTTTTCTAGTTAAATAGGATGCCTCTTCTGCTTGAAGGCAGCCATGTGGTTTTGGTTGGTTTGACAGGTTATTGTGCTCTTCCTTTTAATGACCGCAGGCAGACATCCTGTTCTCACAGCTATGAGGAGAGGAATTGGAAAGCATAAGAAAAAATCATAGCTGTGGATACGTAGATACATTTTGCATCTAATCATAGGTTAAGTGTTCCCTCTGTGTGGCAATCGTCTATGGTTTGCCATCCTGTGAGTTTCACAGTAATGCGGATAACCTCTGGCCATTTATAGTTTGGGAAGGTTTCATCCTGAGGAGATAAAACAGGCGAAGAGGAAGCAATCAAGACAGAGTTTGCAGCCCATGTGTAAGAAGAGAGAAAAAGAGCTGACTGGGCCCTAAGCCTGAAGCCCAGCACAGGAGGATGTGAACAGAGGAAGACGAAGGGAGGAGGATGAGGGGAACAGAGTATGTGAGAGCCTGCAGCTGTCCCCCCACTCTGCAAAGTTTGGCACCAAAATATAGGAGAAGAGGGGAGAAAAAACATGAAGGAAGGAATATGGGTCAGACAACACCTTATTCAAAGCTCTCAGAAGCGCAGTATCAGCCCACACTATATGGATTGAACTTTGCCTTGCATTGTAGTCCTTTTCTAAAATTAGGTTTGGGAATAGTATAATAGTCTAAAGCAGCCTATTCTATACCAAGCTACCAAGGGTAAGAGTAAGTTAAGACACAGTTCCATCTCTTATAATGTAATACTGTGAAAAAAAAGAGTATCGATGGCAAGATTTCTTTCCATTTAATTTTTCCACTGAGACTCAAAGGCTGTGGAACTGTATTTGTAAAACTAGAACAAAAAAGTGAACTACATTATGAAAGTAATACACAAGCAGAGATGGGGAGAAAGACAGGCAGAAGAGACCAAGATGAACTGAAAAAAACGAGAAACCAGTGCGACAGAGAGTAGTGAATGACTATTGTGTTTTGTGAAGTGTGTCCAGGAATCAGTGGCTGCAAGCCAACGTCATGCAGCCGCCTCCCTTAGGACCAATAGCAGATGGTTAGACAAGGTCACAATGTCCAAGAGCCACGCTAATGGGGAGACATTTAGTAAGTGGCACTCCTGAGGGACTTGGCCTTTAGGGAAAGACCTGTCACTTGTAAAGGGTACAGGATGGTGGGTGAAACAATCATGTCTCCACAAGATCTACTCCCTCTCCAGTCATTGTCTTTCTTTTCGTCACTACTAAATTTATAGGTCAGCTGTTTTCTAATTTTGACGGCTAACTTGAATCACCTCAAATCTCTCCTACTGCAACTTTTTGGGACCAAGAAGACTACTCATTCATGCCAAATCAGCTTTGACAACACAATTGGCAATTTGCTTTGATAAAATTCCCACAAGAAAGCCCCGCTGTCTATTTTAGCTATAGTCAGCAGGGTAACACCAAAGAAAAAGAAGAAGCCACCTTTAGGTTTCTGTTCTCCAAAACGTTCTCAAGTTGACTCTTACTCCAACTAGTCTACTGATCTTTTTGTAATGGAAACCTGGTTTCTCTGGGGGTTTTTGGCTCCTCTATCGAGAAATGATCATGCAACACTAACATTTTTACACAAATGTGCGGAGCTTAACATTTGTGTTTGTTTTCACTTGAGAGGCCTCTCAGTTAACAAAGTGATGGCTGTCTGTTTTAGTAAAACGTGGATCTCTCCCTATTAGAAGCTGATGATGGAGTCTCTCTCAGAGATGCCTATCTTTGTACCCACTTCCTGTCTGGTCTTTGCTGGATTGTTCCTCTGTATCTTCATGTTAGTTTTATGAGTTGCAGGGACAAAGGGGGTTAAATAAACATCCCCCTTTGGGAATGTGACCTATGGATTAGCGCTACCATGCACAGTTTCCCAGAACTCCTATAGACGACAAGAGTTGTGACAGTCTCACTGGCATGCTGATTTGGTGAGACACAAGGCTTGTTGGTAGAAGTAATGGGAAATATTGAAGCAAAGAGTTCAGCAACTTACACAAAATTTGTTTTTTTAAATGACAGCTGAGTGAAAGGTCATACCAAATGATTAAAGTTCAGTTGCTGTCAGTAACATTTAGAGCATTTACTGCTATTTTATATTGTTTTGCATTTATTATATCTTAAATATTTTACCAAAACCACAAACGTGGTATGCAATTCGCCTTATCAACATACACTTATAAGCAGAGAGATATACATTTCAGAGTCAGTCTTAAGCAAGCCTGTTGGAAAATCACTGATGTAACTGCCATTGATACCATTAATAATATGTGTTCTATCTGTTGTCTCTTCAACCTATTTAGAAAATTACCCCCCAAAAAATCATGCATGACTCAGCCCATTGTGTTTACTTACATTTCATTTCCATACTTCAGTTACAAAGAATAAAGCGTTTGATTGTATTTCATTGCCCTTTTCAGTTCTTATGCTTGGTTTTAAGAGTTTTGTAGGAGTGCTCCTTTTTCAAGATGAGCTACTTGTCTTTTACATATGAGTTGGAGTTTTCTTTTCACCCTGAAGTACTATTTCTCTTTGCCCTGTCTATGATTCTTGTGTCAGCCTTCTCAAAAACATATATTTTTTTATATATCAGGATAGGTGCGTTAGTCCTTAACATTTACAAAGTTCAGAGAGCAAATTTAAAACTGTTTGATCTATAGATATATGAATAAGGGCTATTTATCAAATCTGTCTGTTACTTTCTTTTGCTATCTTTTCTTCAACACTGCATTTGTTAATGAATGTGAAAACATGCCAAAACATGGATATAAAAGCTACAAGAGGGATCCCGTAGACCTGCAGAGACCGGTTATTTCGGTGGGGATAATCATGTATAGCCGACAGAGAAAAACATCAAACTAGATATTAGCATGTCTCTCAAGCCACAGCTATGGAACAGATGAAGTAAATCAAATATAAATCAAGGATAATTTTGGAATTCGTGGTTGTGGGGCAAACCTTTTAACACATTTCTACATGCTGTAAGCCATAATGAGACATTGCAACAGCATTTGTGGTAATATCCTTGAGAATAATTTGAAAGTCATGGATAAACAAGGACGCCTTAAAGATTAAATCCTTTGATGCTTTGACCAAAATCCTTCAGTTGTTGGTCTGTTAACTTCACAATCTAAACACTTGACACAGAAATGCCTCAGCTGGTGTCAGATTGATCTGTTACCCTCAGGAATGCTCTGGAATGGTTTTTTAGCTGAGTAGCTTGATAGTTGGGGGTCAAGACTCAAGTACAGACTTGTTTTGTTTTGCCATGAGGTGAGGAACAGTGTGCCTAATGCACTAATGCCTGCATGAAGTTTGTTCGTCAGAGTGGGTCAGTTCAGCCGGGTTAAAACTACAGTGTAGAAGAAAGGCAAACTGTTTTGAATTCTGCTGCTTATTTGTCCTTTCTTACCTTCAGGCTTTTGCTCAGAAACATAGCCACTCAACATGCTTCAGACAGCAGCCTTTGTTGCCATAGGATCACTTTCAAATGATGTTTGCATAGCTCCATTATTGGTGTAACCCTTGTGGAAAGCAAGTGGTATATTTGCAATTTTAATGTATGATTTATTAGTCAGCATTGGGATCATGACTCTGTCATTGGAATGTGTAATAACTCTAGTGTTTGTCTTGAAATACCAAAACAATGATGATCCACAAGGCTTAGGAATGCTTCACACTGTAGAAGCATGCAGGCCTGTGCAGCAAGTATGTACGTATGCGCACACACACAGTCTCACAAGGCCTCTGGAAGGGAAGCGAGGTGTTACTGAGTGCGCTGATGCTTTTCTGTTTCTCGTAAATTAGTTTAACCATGAAGCAGCTCAGAGGTGGCATGGCAGACTCTGGTAATACTGCCCACTGAGAACATGTATTTCCTGCTTTTGTGTGTGATATTTATCTTGAGATCTTCCAAATGAGCCGGTTCCACAGGCTTGCACCCAGCCGTACTGGCCCCACCGATAACATGTTTTTGGGCTTGCACCAGGCTTTCCAGTTGGTGTCTATCTCTCCACATGTGCGATCCTACCTTGCAACATTTGCCTGCCCACATTTACCCAACCATGCCAGTTGGCGTACCTCCACTAAGCTACCTGGTCTCTCTAGTTTTGCCGCATATCTGCCTACTTCTGCTCCTGTGCTTGGCAGTAGCTCCACTGTGGGAACTCATGCCTTTGATGGGCTCTGCAGTCATGTTTGGACTAAACTGCTGCTTTTCAACACTAATCTGTATTTCTATCCTTTCCCTCTCATTAACAGATTCTGGTCCCGCTGTAGCAAAACAAAGTATAGCTATAGCTTCTGGGTTAATGATGGAAAGCAATGTGGTGCCAGGAATTAGTCACTTTACAGGAGCTTTTGATGCCTCTTTTGTGTGTGTGTGTGTG